CTCCGGCGCCGCCCCTGGCGTGCTCCGCGCGCCAGGGAGGGGGGTCCGGCGCGGATACGAGAAATCCGCGCGGACCTCCGAGTTTTTCTGTTTGTGTCATTCGTCGTTCCCCGAAGCCCGCCCTTCGCCGAGCGCGTTCCGCTGCTCGCAGCAGGTGCCTACGGTCAAGCCGCACAGTGAGGAGTGGCAGCCTTCCCGGAGGGTGCCCCTGCACCCGTGCCTCCCCGGTCCATCCTTGGCCACTCTTGCTGGCCGCGCCTCGCTCGGAAAGCTCCGGCATGGCCTTCGAGGGCCCTTTCATCCTAATCGTGCATCCTTATGATACGGGTCGACGGTGCTCGCAAACGTCCGAGAAATGCATGTCTTCCGCTCTGTAGTGGACCGTGGATTCTACGCGGTGGGTCCAGGGGCCACTTGCGAGCAGGTACCTTACAAATAGTGGAACGCGCTTGTCTAGCCTTGGATTTCGGGCGGACCGACTTCTTTTAGGAGGGGACAAACACACACAGACACAGTTAATCCTCGATTCCCTGGAGCATGTGGGAAACCAAAAGTGGGAAGTGCGGGGGAAGACGGATATCCAGAAGACATGGAACACGTTCTGTGAATCCAGGGATTTGTGTATCCGCCCTGGGAGCGCGGGCGACTTCCCCTCCCCCCCCGACGATGGGACGAAAAGCCACACCGCTCCGAAGAGGAGGGGGGGCCCTGGGATACACCCCCCAAGGGGGGCTCCGCGGACGCGCCCCGGAATGGAGGATGGGCACCCTCGACCGATGGCACATCCCAGGGTGAGGGCCCCACATCCCTGGTCCACTCTCGACAGCCCCACGAGGCATGGGACAGGGGCCGACGTGCCGAGGAGGAGGAGGAGGAGGAGGGAGAAGGGAGGAGGAGGAGGGAGAAGGGAGGAGGAGGAGGGAGGGAGGAGGGAGGAGGGAGGAGCCCTCGTCGTGGATGTCGGGCGGGCCGACTTCTTGGTCGGTGGGGCATGCAGGAGGGAAAAACACACACAGACACAAGCCATCGTCGATGCCCAAGAAGATATATGGGGACAGATGGGAAGTGGGGGGAAGACGAGCACACAGAACATTTGGGGACATATTGTGAATCCTATTATTTGTGTGCTTTTACTTGTGTGTCCTATAGGGCCCCTCCAGGCATGCTTTGCGCGCCCGTGGCGGCTCGCGCGGGCCGTCCCTCTGGGCCGGCCGTCGGGGGGGGCGAGGCGCTGCCCCGTCCCCCCCGGGGGGGAGCGGTCGAGGCGCCGGGCCCGCCGAGTGAGCCACGGTCGGTCCGGCGGGTGCGTGGGCGCGTCTGGCCCTCTCCTCTTCCCCAGACCTCCTCGCGTTGCGACAAAAATCACGACGGGAGGTTCTTCGCTATTTTCGGCCTTCGGGGGCCCTTACCGGGCCTCGGGACTGTCAAAAAACGACTCAGGACGAGAAACCGGTCCCGGGGAGGGGGTCCAGACCTTTGGGGGTCGACGTTGCGAAAAAAACACGACGTCGGGGGTCTGGGTCGGTGGCAAAACATGGGAGCCTGGTGCACCCTTCTGGTTTCGTCGTCGATTGGCGTCTGGAGTCAATGGGATAGCACCGATGTAGAGCGTCGGCTAGCGTCGATTCATCGTCGATGTAGCGTCGATGTAGCGTCCAGTGGCGTCGCTTCGCGAGAGCCGACAAGATGGTGTGGGAGGCTCCCAGCCACCGAACTCCTCGAGGATTATTCGAAGAAGGAAGAATGCGTAAACATAAACTTTTTGCGCTCCGCGCGGATTCCTCGGATCTGCGCTGGGCCCCCCCCCCCCCAAAGCGGCGCTTCCGGCGCCGCCCCTGGCGCGCTCCGCGCGCCAGGGAGGGGGTCCAGCGCAGATCCAAGAAATCCGCGCGAAGCGCTCAATGTTCCCCAATCAGAGCTTGCGTCTGTAGGGATCCTAGCGGATTCATATGGTTAGGTTAGGTTTGCCGCCGGTTTTCGCTGCACGCCCGGGTTCCCGGGTGCCCGGGGGTGCCCAGGTGCCCAGGTGCCCGGGGTTGCCCGGGTGCCCGTTGGTGCCCGGAGGTGCCCAGGGGTGCCTGGAGGTGCCCCGGGGTGCCCGGGTGCCCCGGGGTGTCCCGGGGTGTTATATCGCCCTATAGCCCTATAGCTGTATAGTCCTATATCCCTACAGACCTATGGACCTATAGCCCTATAGCCCTATAGCCCTAAAAGCCCCATAGCCCACAGTCCTTATGCCCTATAGCCCAATCGCCCTATAGCCCTATAACCCTATAGCCCTTATGGGCCCATAGCCCTATAGCCTCAGTGCCTTGTAGCCCTATAGCTCTATGTTCCTATAGCCCTATAGCCCTATAGTCCTATAGCCCTAGCCCTATGGTCCTATAACCGTATCGCCCCATAGCCCTACAGCCCTAACATATTATGATTGTTTTTTTTTTTCTCCGGTATCATTTCTGCTCATGGCGTTGCTTCTTCTTCCAATTGAGGTCTTGGGACGTTTGGTCGGTGGATGTGTGGATCCCCCTCCCCCTGTTTGGGCGTTGCCAGAAGTGCCCCTGTCCCAAGGTGCCCCCGGGATTTCCAAGGAGGCCCCCACGGCCTCCAAAGCCCCTCATCACGAGGCCCAGAGGTCCCAGTCGCTCCAAAATGGAGCGACAAGCTGGGGGCAGCTTGGGCCAGGGGCACTTGTAGCAAGCACGAAAGGAGGGTTCCTGCCGTAATGGCTCCCTACCGCCAGATGGGCAACGTGAAGAAACGGGGCTGGCTGCGCCGACAATGGCAGGCACAAGCTTCCCGCGCAAGGTCGCGCATGAGCGCCCTTGTTTTCCACGCGGTGTGCCGCGCTGGCTGCCCGCATAATTAAGCCACCGCGTAGTATCGCCTTCGCTTTCGCGTGAGGCCCTGTTATCTTCGCCGCTCAGGGGTCACTCCACCTTTTCGAGGTTGGTCTAGGGATCCAGGGAACCTTTCTCCTGGCGGGAGCCTCTAGCTTGAGGAGTTAGGCTTCGTGCCTGCGCGGGCGGTGGTGTCTTGGCGTGCTTGAGAGCAGGCGCTCAGTGCATTTGAGCCACCCAGCATCATACAGCGGAGTCTCGGAGATCCGATTTTCGAGCGGGCTGTTATCAACGGCTTTGGCCGCCACTCTTGGGAGGCTGAAGAAGGCCTCGGCCCTGCAAGCGCAGCTGGGACCGCTGCAGTCCAGTCTGGGTTAATTTAGCTGATTCTGATTGTCTCCAGTTGCTTCAAATGGCACCATCCCTGGCGTCATTCCATTTACTTCACCTCGGCGTCTCCGCAATTCATCGTGATGGTCCCATCTGCTTCCTATTGGGGCCCGCAGTGATCTCCAGGAGCTGCCGCCGAACAGCTTGCAGTGGATCGACGTTCTGAGCTCCGAGCCCCGGTCCCCCCTGATGCCCCGAGCGCACCCTGGTGGCTCCTAGCCAGACAGTGGGAACCTCGGAAGAGATCAACCCCGTGTCGGCTTCCCAGGCGGCGTCTCCGAAGGCATGGCTGCTCCTACGAAGGGGCTCCTTCTGCCCCTTCCAAAGCCAGTGCAGTGTAAAAATGAGGTTGTCCCCAGGAGGTATCTGGAGGTCCCCGAAGGTCCCCAGAGCGCACCCCGGAGGCCTCCCAAAGAGCCCAAAGCGTGCGCAAACCCCAGACAGCCTCCAAACATACACATCCGATCGGCAGAATACATTCAAAATCGGCAACGGTAAGTGTGGTACATCAGAACACGTGCACCAGCTTCCTGACCCGGGGCGACGTTAGGGGGGAACGGCTTGGGGGAATGCGTCGACCCCCAATCTCGCACTCATCGCCGAGAGGAGCATGATAGGCCAGCCCGCCCAGGAAAGTGCAGATTTTCGACCGAGGGCCTGCCGCCGATGTGACGGCAAGCCCGCCTAATTCCACGCAGTCCAGCTGAATCTCGGGCTCAATCCGGCCCCGTCCGGCTCAGTGGCCCTGCAAACTCGGGTTTCGTCGTCCATGGCCGTTCCTGCGAGTAGTTCTCCCAGGAGTTGCCTCCTGGCCTCCTCTGGCACGGCCGCCGAGTGGCCGCCGAGAGGCCGCCGAGTTGGAACAAGAAGAGACGGCATAAGCATAAACTTTTGGCGCTACGGGCGGATCTCTTGGACCCGCGCCTTGGCCCTCCTGGCGGCGCCTCTGGACGCGCCGCCCGGGGGGCCCAGGCGCGGAGCCAAGACACCTGCGCGGACTTCCAATAGTTTATGTTGAGGCAGTTTTTTTTCAGGAGGAGAACACACACACACACAAACACACACACACACACACACACACACGCACGCACGCACGCACGCACGCACGCACGCACGCACGCACGCACGCACGCACGCACGCACGCACGCGCGCACGCACGCACGCACGCACGCACGCACGCACGCACGCACGCACGCACGCACGCACGCACGCACGCACGCACGCGCACGCACGCACGCACGCACGCACGCACGCACGCACGCACGCACGCACGCACGCACGCACGCACGCACGCACGCACGCACGCACGCACGCACGCACGCACCCCCCACACACACACATATATATATATACACAGACACACACACACACGCACACCCACGCACGCACGCACGCACGCACGCCCGCCCTCCCGCCCGCCCGCCCGCCCGCCCGCCCGCGCGCGCGCGCGCACGCACGCACGCACGCACGCACGCACGCACGATCGCACGCACGCACGCACGCACGCACGCACGCACGCACGCACGCACGCACACACTCACACTCACACACACAAACAAGTCATCCTCGACCCCCAGGAAACTGTGGGGGGAGACGAACACCCAGGAAAGCATGGGGAAACATGGGAAACATGGGCTTTGTGTTTGCTTCTTTGTGTGTCCCTGGGCTCCTTGATTTTTTCCTCCGAGAGTGGCCCCCCCGCCGAGGAGGAGTACTGCGTCGACGTGCCCCGAAGCGGCGGGGAGGCGGCCAGCCTCTTGCTGGCCCTGCGG